CTCAACGTTTTCGATGCTTTGCTGTCTGGTCACAGGGAGACTGAAGATGGAGGCTATGATCAGCCAAAAGTCCTCGCAAAGAAGAGCAGAATCTGGTCCATCGCAAAGAAAAGAATCCTAACATCGGGTCAAAGTATAAAAATGATGTATAATCAATATTTTGTAATATATTTCGCGTTTAAAACCATTAAAGGGTTTTAATTTGTTTAAACTCTTGTTTACATGTAAAATAGAGTTTCAACCACCATACCTATTATATAGCCATATTACACCTAAACAAGATGAGATGTCGCCCTAATTTATCTATAATATAATATATCGTCTTGAGACCTTCGGACCCTGTACTTTAGCGCTTAACAAAGCGTTAAGGAGAAGACATGATTGTTAAAAGTATTGTCTGTAGTTACGAGTAGTACACATTAAAATAAAACACTTGAAACTTGATTTAAACGCGAAATATACGCGGATAACTTATTGACCTGTTAACATTTAATTTAACGACAGCCCTTACGGTTCTTACCATCATTAGAGACAGGTTGCATTTTCAGGCCTCACATGCTCGCCTAATTCCTGTTTTAAACCGTTAAAGTGTTTCATGTAAAACAACTTTTCGTTAATACAATGCCAACTGATAGGGGTTCGATTCCCGCCTATATAACATTTTTTATGTCCGATACATGAACCCGATCACGTCATTTCACGGCCAACCCTCAATTTCTGGCACAGCGCCAATCCTGCGCATGCGAATTACTCTAGTATACTGTTTTGTAAATAATATTATTCCGAGATGTGTTTCAAAATAGATTAAGCGCTGGAATAATTAACTCTTAGTGTGAATGAAAAACTGAATTGTGAAAGACCCCATATCCCCTTAGTGGGGCAAGGGGTCGACAGTACAAGTTGGTGCAATGTTAGCAAGTTTATAATGCTGTAGTGCCTATTCTAAAACTAATTAAGTAATACATTTATGAAATTATGTGTATTAGTGTTTTTACCATCTCAGTAATAACTACCCTATTCCTCAAGTCGAAGCCGTACGTGCAACAAGAGAAACCCACGGTGACCCATAGACTTAGAGTACCAAACGCCACCTAGTCAAAGCCTTAGGCTATCACAACACACATATAACACCAGAACCCTTATCAAGACCCAGTTAATGATCGTAAAACGCATGTGGTCACATCGGCTGACTTATCAAATATTTAATCCATTTATTGGCAACAAGCCACGAAATACTGCGGCGCTATGACGCTGAATGTAGGCTAGTAATTGAGTATTTTTCGCTAAAGATAGTGTAAAATACTCTATTACTAGCCTATATTGTATGTAGGTTACTGACAAGTCCACACTTTAGTAAACTAGCCCTAGTAAATCCCACAGCTGGGACTTCTTCTCCAATACTATGTACAGCTGAGTGTTTCCCCTACAATAGGTAGACATATATCTGTGTCAGTTTCTTAATCAGTTAATATATTTTTATTAAGCAAGTAAATACTGTCAGCAGTTTTCACCCTTAGTCTAGCCACAAGCGTACTAAAATGTGTGGTTAGTTAACTGTGTCCAGAAGCAGTCAATAGTCATTAAAACAATTAAAACACAAAGTCAGTAAGACCTGGAACAACTAAAAGGCCAGAAATCAAACAACCAACTTGTGATCCCGGTTTTTTATAAACATATAGGATAGACAACTGCACCGCTGCTGCAAATTCATTTGGTTTACTTAGCATTTATGTATAATAATGTATATAAAAAATCCATGTGACCGTGTGTTTGGAACATAGATATTTGTCTTGTATCCATTATCAAAAGCTGATAACTGATATGATGATAACCTGCTTACTGTGGTATTCTACTTTTTCTAGGTAGTACATACATAACTAAATTGTTATCATATATTTATATCTACTTTAAATATCATACTGAATTAAATAAAATATTAAATTAATTCAAAAAATTAAAATATTTCAATCTAAAATCATAAAATTGATTTTTAAATACTACTTCGTAAAACGTTAGCTTTAAGAGCATACCTAAATTGTTCGCCATAGGTTACATATGTAGCCATGATATATATAATTATCATTTAAGTCCTTACTAGGGACCTATAAATAGGAAGGACAGGATAAATTGCAGGGGTGGAAGCTGAGTACCCTGGACAACAATTGGGTAATGCAGACAAAGAAACGTATTTACTTTCACTCACAATTAGAAAGCATTTAATTATAAGATACATAACATAAAATAAAACCGTAAAATGTAGACCTGCTCTTGACAATATTAATCCATCTACAAAACCCCCATTTTCATTCTGATATTTTGTATAAACTTCAGACTTCCACGATTATAATATTTCAGAATTTGAATACAATATAATTGTGATAACAAAAAATGTATACTAGCGGCAAACAATGACCGATGGACACAACAAAAAATTAATAGCTATTTCCGACAATGTCATTTAGACACAGTCCGTCGGACAGAAAAACAGTGGGCGCTTAGAATTTATTTTGAATTCAATTTCTGTACTTCAATAAAACACTTAAATGGTTTAAAACGCGATATATATTAAACTTATTTGTCTCCCCGTGACCATGGCTGCGGCAAAGCATCGGAAATGTGGGACAGTAGTTAAAATAAGTTTTACTAATATATATCGCATTCTCAACTGGTCAAATGTTTTATTTAAATGTGTACTACTTGCGTAAAACTGCAGACAGTGTTTAAATTTATGTACTTGTTGAAAAGAGTATGTTTGCCTGGATTAGAGAACTGTAGGTAAAGATCACTAATCACCGTGATTTTTTTTTTTCAGGATATATACAAAATATAGGTCCCTTGTTTTTAATTGTATTCTTTATGTTTGAGTAGTTGTGCTTCTTGCAAGAATTGTTTTAATGGCGGCGATAAGACAAAACATGACTTAGAGGAAGCACAGATAACCATGGGGGTTAGCAAAGCATAGTCAAAAAGTCATGAAAAGATTCATAAATCAAATTCTGCACTATAGAATTATCTAATTAATAGATTTGTCATAAAGAATCCGGAACCAGAATCAATAATTTTGTGTTTATATGAATATAAAACTAGTATGTAATTTATATAATAACGATTATGAAAAACTTGCACTATATATGTATATGATAAACAATAAAAGAAAAACTAGAGTACTTGAAAATGGGAATTTTTAATAATTATATTAATTGCTTTCAGTTTTTATCATTATTAACTTTGAAGTATACTAAGGACAAAGATAAAGCAATTAGTGCCATACTTAACTAGAATTTAAAAAATAAAAGTTGAATCACTGATAAGACAAAAGTTACACAATAAAAATCCTTATCAATGTAAAGACTCGATAAATGCAGCCCAAGTGAGCAATTAAACCAATAAAAGCCAAGTAATTTCGTAGTTAACCCAGTACAAATCTTCTTCAAATCTGATATAACACGACCGAGTGGAGAAGCTCCACAACCCGTACATACTGGTTACGTAAAAATGACATGTCCATTCGTCGGATTGGTTCCAACCCGCGCCCAAGCTGACATCATACGAGTAGATAACAAGCAATTGTAGAGTCACACCCAGTTTATTTTATAGCAATCAGCGCAGTGAAAACCTAGCGTGAAACGATTTGAAAGATTTAAATATTCTACAGGTATCAAATGGCCTCTCTATTAAGGGAAGCCACGAAAACGCGTCAATAACATCGTTAGCGAGATCAGAATCCCGAAATAATGCCACTTAGTCATTTTGCAGCCTATGAGCTAAAAAAGCGACCCAATTACACCATTGACAGACGGAGAAACCACACCCAAGATTCTATTGTTCACAACTAAGATTATCGTCTTACACCTATAAGATTATTTCTCGTGAAAACTCACCGGCTTAACTTGGGAGCGTTAGAGACGTACTTTTTTTTTGTCACAGCACAAAATTCACTTCACTTATCGAGTAGCTGATAACTTACACTAAGCACACATACGACATTATACCGCAAATATAACACGCACAGAACGATTCCTTGTGTTTTTAATCCACTAGCACCGACGACATAACGCGTGAGCGCCTTATTTCTTTTTCGTACGTAAAAAAGAAGCCAGCCCGTACCGCTACCGAGGATCGATGTCGGCTTGTGTTTCGTTTTTTCGCCGACGTATGCGAGGCGCTGGCGTCGCTATTCAAATGTTGCCACTTACTGATTCAGAAGTAAAGCTCAGTGCTGCCAATACATTTTTAAAATTTACTTTTTTACTTTGCAATAATAGTAACCTTACTTACAAATATTTTGTTAAGTTTTTTTATGAATAACTTAAAAGAGCGTTTGCTAAGATTCGACGATAAGCTTCCTTCTCGTCAAACAAAAGTTGTATAATTTCTTTACTTGACGTCTGCCTAAATAATGATTTGTTTAAATTTAGCATTACAGTTTTTTTTTTGTTGAGTCATCGGTCAAAAAGTTATTGTGACGTTGCAAACGAGTATTAAATTTGAATATTACAAATTAAAACAAATATAAGACGAATTAATTGATTCAGTCATGTTCCTGAAAATTTGGTCTGACTATTTAACTGGCAGCATTAAAAGTCGTACTACTCGTAACACGCAATTTCGTCATTGTATATTTACAAAAACATTATGAAGTCACATTATATTTACTTACTAAAAACAATAAAAACTTAGGTATGTTTTGAAAATAATATTTGTATTTTTTTTTTTTTGAAACTATTCATTCAAATATAAGGAATTAATACTTACGTCGTGAAACACAGCTCTTGCGTGAAACGAAACGCACTCCTACCTCTCCAAATCAAAAGGCATTTTATGTCATTAAATTTCAAAATGGCGTGCGTGTAGGTTGTGCGTTACTGTTATTTTAGTTTTTAGTTTTTATTTTACAAAGTTTACACACTGTTGACTTTAAATAGGTAAGTTATTATCTGTTTAACTTATTTTCTTCATATTATTCGTGTTTTAATAAATATTAACATATTTCAGTTATAATGGGCCGGTCTCCTAGTCCGCGCCGTCGCGACCGTGATGATAGACAGGATAGACGTGATCGCGACAGGCACAGGGATAGGCGCAGACGGACGCGTTCACGGTCACGTTCACTAGAACGCCGGAGACGGTCCCCGGACAGGGACAGACGACGGTCCCCGTCCCCCAGGCGACGCCGCTCGAGATCAATTTCTCCCGGCCCAAGCACATCCTTCGTGCCAAAACCAAAGAAGAAGAACTACGTGGAACGCCCCATAGTGACCCCCGCGGACCTAGAAGGAAAATCCCCTGAGGAACAGGAGATGCTAAAGGTGATGGGATTCTGCGGCTTCGACACAACAAAAGGTAAAAAAGTTGACGATAACGTTCAGGGCGAGGTACATGTTGTTCTCAAGCGGAAATATAGACAGTACATGAATAGAAAGGGCGGTTTCAACAGGCCGTTGGATTTTGTCGCTTAATAGTATCGCACAATCTTAGACCTGCAGGGTCGTAGCCATGTGATAGTTTTCAATCTTGTCCTAAGGTCTGGTTTAACGGGTTTCTATTGAGAGAACCCCATTTTAATACGGCTTTCGTCTTAACCTTGAGGTATTGTCATGGTTACCGATTTTATATAACCATACAATGTGAGTTGCTTTTTTATTTGTTACTTAGAATCACTACTTTTAAAAGTATAGTTAAACTAGATAAGGACAAGATTTAAAACACATTTCTAGGTTTAAGTGTTACACATGTTTTCCATTTTGTATTTATATATTTTAAGTTATAGCTGTGATATTAAATCGAAACTCAATATTGCCAACAAACACACACTCATATATACCAATTAATCGATGTAAATTTTATAACTAAATATAAGTTGTGGAAGAATTTCAGCATAATTCCAACATTTTAAAACATTTGTTTAAGAGCTGCTAACATTCAAAAACTTTACAGCTCTGCCTAAATTGTACATTATTTTAGGTTACTATATGATATATATCATTTTGATGGATACTTAAATGGAAAATTTTGACAAACATTAGTTTTTTGTTAACATGACAAATAACAAAACGCTGAAATGATGTGAAAAATGTTTTCTGAATCTGATGCACTGTTTTCATGTTTCTAATAACATTTTAGGACTACACTAACAATTTCAAGAACTATGAACCATACATTTTTTAACTCTTAAAATTTTTGAAAACTTTTCAATTTTAATTTTTAATAGAAAATTTTACATGGGCGCGTTTTGAACCAGCATCCACAGTGGTAGAGCAGGAGGGAACATTGTGGATGCCGGTTACAGTCAATCAACTTTTTAACACTTAAATCCATTGTATGGAGTTAAGGCATTTCGCGTTTTAATCGGTTGCAGAGTTTTATTTAAAGATTTGGTGATCAGTGTCAACACCAATATATGAAGTATATAGTTTTGACAATACACTTATCACAGCTATAGTTTAAATGTTGTATCTACATAGCTCCAGTGAATATTGGTGACAGCTGAGTTTAAACCCTTTTTTTATATTCAGCTGTCTCATGATATTTGAAGTTTTGTAGGTGGTAAGGGGCATCTCAACTTTATTTATAGCAATATCAACAACATAACATAACAACTTTGAAGTATTCAAAACATCTCTAACATTTGTTTTAAAGGATTTTATTTTATAGTTTTGTATGGGAACTCCAAAATCCATCGACCATCATACTCTTTCTTGCAAGTTATTAGTAAAGATTTTATGTACTATTGTGGACACTTTTTTAAATAATTTAAAGATAAATTATTCTGTCATACATATTTATTGGGTATACTGAACCGTTCTCAGTGCATATAACGGAAACCATCAAAGTTAATCATTCCATTCGTTCCACGTTTACCAATATTTCTTCGCTCCTATTAGTCGCAGTGTGGTGTTTTATAGCATAATGCCTTCTTCGATGACTGCCCTAACCAGAACTTTTCAATTCTAACCAGTCGTTCTTGTGATTAGCGCGTTCAAACTCTTTAGCTAATATCAGTTACATTGGGAGAATGAATTCTGATGATATTTATATGAAGTTGAGATGCCGTTTACTATTTTAAGTTAGTGTTAAGCCCGATATACAGTGCCCGTGCGTTGCTGACGCCCGCACGGTGCCCGGAACAGCGCACTGCGCACCAAGAAACATGCTGGAGTCGGTTATGGCATGACATACTAGGTTTTGGTGGAGAATGGCAGAGATCAGCTTTTAATGCTACCATAGACACCCAAGGATCTATAGTGCAAGTTCTGATAAGGAATGGTCAAATGTCTTATCTTCAAAAAGTTTTTTTCAAAGGCATCTATGGATTTTGCTACCAGTCCCAACTTGCAAATCCTACAAAGCATACATAGTAATGGTTCTCGACGATTCTCAATTACGACGGTCGATACGACGTAATATAAATCATTTGTAAAATACCTTGCACGCCTTGGTCCCATAGGCATCACAGATATTAGTATATTGGCTGTCTCTGCCGATTTCACCGTACCGAAAATAAGACTGAAGCTTCAGTGCCTTCGTTTCAAGTTTCCCGCACGACGTGACACCACAATAGATATATTTTTACACATATACCATACCCCCCAATATCCTCCACAGTTACAATAGATTTTAAGGGTGGCGCTTCATAGTGTCGTGTCTCTCATGTATTTGGATTTAGCCAAAGGACCGTTCTGACAGTTCTGTCTAGGTCTGACAGAAGGCGGAACTGTCAGATTATGCCAGCAGCTTGGTATTTGGTTTAATTCAGTTTTTTTAATACATAGAAAGACACAGCACTATGCGGCGTCACTCTCCATAGCCCATATACAAATGTTATATTATTCTTGTATTTTTATACGCACCCACGTCGCGCGGGGGGGCACGCATAGTGTATGACGCCACGTCAGACCCGACTCCACATTGTTTGTCACAACACCAGCACCCCCTCGAATGAATCGTTCATGGAAATTTGAAAATACCCCCCGGAAAATTTTTAAATGTCATTCAATATAATAAAATTCAATTACGATGACAAAGTTCGATCTTTTCGGTATATTAAAAAAACAGACTTATTGTTTAAAACAATTTTCATTTAAACAATACTTCACAGTAACACAATGTTTCCACCTATCCTGAATAGAGGAAATAGTTTTGACAGCAAAAAAAAAAAGAAACTTGGCATATTTGATCTGAAAATTTTACAGAATACATGATTTTTTTGAAACATAAATCATGTTTGATTTATAATTGCCATGGATTAAACAATATTTTAAATAAAACACTTTAACGTTTAAAATCGCGAAAAAATTGTCAATTTACTTTTAATTTAGCAGCAATTAAAGCAAATTACGGATAATTTACTAACATATTTTGCGTTAGAAACCGTTAAAAGTGTTTTATTTAAACCAAAGTAATGTACTTAAAAATGTATGTTTTTATAAATCCCTAATTTTTAAAAGATTCATTCCCACGTGTAAATACCACGTTAGTTAATTTTAAATTGTAATTCCAAATTTGTACATTTTCGGATATAAGTGTAAATTTCAAATTAATTTAAGGAGTTTGTTTAATTTTTTTATGCTTTGGTGTAATTTCTTAGCAAATTATTTTGTTTAAAAAAATATTCATTTCTATTACTGTAAAAATGTTGCCGACCTCTGGATTTTTTTTGGCCTATTAGAAGTCTTGAATATAGCAACACTTTCAAAAGTCACCACATTAATAGAAATAAATGTTTCATACAAACTGTATTTTTGTTTTGTCAAACTTTTAAAGGCTGTTTGATCACAAACTACCCTCAAACAAAATGATACGGGTCGGCGAATTGTATTTCTACCTGCTTTGTGATCAAATTAAATTTGTAAACATTTCATACAATAAAAATATGATTTCCACTTGTGTTTTTTATTATATCCGCCAACCTCCTCGAATTTATTTTATTTTTTGGTCTGCCGTAACCAAGGAATTAAAAGGAATCCTATGACAGAGAAACGCTGTCGCCTTATTTTAGCTTGGATATTCAGAAATCCACAGACTGAAACCAGAATTCGAGATTAAAATTTTATCTGTCCGGAAAAATAGACAGTCTGGCTATATTAATTTTATATACCTATTTTTTATTATTTTAATAACATAACAGGCGGGTGTTTTAACGTATGTGTGAACGGCTTTAATAGTCCTATTTAATCAATCTAGTTTCCCCAAACACAAATTACGTGAAAACAGATGGCTCTAAGCCTAGCAGATTTGACTTGGACATAACGCCGTCCATCTTTAGTCCCCCCGTGACTACGGGTGCAAAGCATCCGAAACGTCGGGGCCATTGTTAAAATTAGATAATATATTTTACGTTTAAAAGTTATCGAATATGGTAACACATCCACTTCTATTATAAACGGTTTCCGCTGCGCATGCGACTGTAGCTTTCTTATATTAAAATCATTTTTATTCAGCGCTAGTTCTTTGCCCATTACGAACAAAACTATTAATAAGTAAACTAATAATAAGATCATCCTAATTTTAACTTTGCTAAAAGGATCGTGGATGGTCTTTTTTGGTCTATTTGAAGAGTAAGACGAAAATGTGACATAAAATAATTTATTAATAACATTTTACAACACATCAACCGAGATTCACAACACGTTGAGTCATTGTGCTGGAGATAAATCTTTGTATGTTACACAATTACTGAAGGACGGCTCGACCAATCGCGATTGACTTTTGATAAGTTGAATTAACAATACACAGACATTTTCCTTAAAACTAACAATGGTGGTAGATATTTGTTACATAAAATCATTATTAACGGTTTAAAACGTGAAATTTATTATCTATCTACAGATGTCGTTGTTACGAAACGTCGGGTTATTAGATATTTCGCGTTTTCAACCGTTTATGTTAATTATGTTTTCACATGTTATTGCAAATGATGGCATTATATACACAAAACATTTATATACGTTGAATTTTTTGTTGTTTTAACGTCGCGACACAGTAACAAATGGTCATTAGCAGTAATTTTTAAACAATATGGCTGCCGGTTAATTTCCGCCCGTCTAATTAAAGGTTAAATAAAAAATACTAATCTCCACCACAATGAGATAGGATAGGAATGACACTAAACACATTATGTAATTCAATTGTCAAGATTCAAACACATTTAAAACACACGTACAGGTTATAAATACATTATTTGTATTTTACTATCCTAGGACCTTATTAGGCTTCAAATATTTCATTTAAGCTGTCCCACAACTGGGCCCAAGATCTCTTAGGTGGATGAGAACGTTTTAGACCTACCATTACCATAAGAGTTATCGGGTTTTAACAACTACCGTCACTATGTTTGTGATGTGAGGGTAGGAAATGGTAGCAGGCCCCACTCCCGAAAAATGGAATACTAGAAATTCTGGAGATGACTATAATTAGGCCTGAGATCGAAAACCAGGATCTCGATTGGCGATTGCGATATGAGGCCGCTAGAGGCAGAGTAGCCTAACTGCAATTTTATGAGTTGACTTATTTATATTTTCACAGTCTAAAAACGTAATAATCTACAAGAGCCCAGTGACCGAAATATTTTTATACATAATTCTTACACAAATAATAGTAAAAATTCATTTTCGCCGAAGTTAATTGCGCATTTTTATTTTTATTATTGAAAATCACGTTGTTTTTGTATTAGGCCACTCTGTATTTAATAGGCATCATATTTCAATGATAACATTTAAAGCCCAAAATTTGATATGAGTTATTTGTTAACGGCACTTGACCCGGTACATTGAGGCCTACCGCACTTTGGTTATTTGAGTCCCACAAGTGGGACAGGGTTTTAATGATGAAGACCCTAGAATAGTAATCTCACATGATATTAACATCTGCGTAGCTTAGCTACCCTCAATCCTTACTAAATGTAATTAATGGTCACTTATATACTAATCGATTATTTCAAATATTCATCTAGATATGTTATAGGCATTAGCTCGGGACGATTTTATTGAGAACGCGTTGATTTGTAAATATTACCTTCATACACAAAATAAGCAAATAAAATGTGGGTAGTTTTAGATAACTTTTAAAATGCTGTTCTTATTGGGTTATATAGTAACAAGTTTTTCTATAGACAGATTCTAAAATGTTTCTCTAAATAAGTAGTTTAAATTAAGTCTCAAAAGAGATTATAATGCAACTACATCTAAAATATAGAATGATCAATTCGACAATAGACAAAAAATATCTTTTATCTCTGTGGTTTTGTAAGATCTGTGGCGAAGACCTATGCCCAGCAGTGGGACATTAATAGGTTATTCATTCCCACCTTTTTTGTCATAATAATGTTTACAAACCAACGACAATATCAAAGCGAGGGGTAATATTAACATACATGATAATTTCAGAATTTGTTTTTTTTTATATACTCTATGACAGTAATTAAAAATATAATAAATGAATAGGAACTTGCTACTAAGGTAAAATGGCGCCCAAATTCATTTAAAAGAAGTCACTAAGTAATTTTAGTTTACTAGCAGTATAAAATGTGGTTTATTTAGGGTAAATAAGTAATGTTGCCAGATTAAGATTATAATCTTAATAAAGGTTACCATAAACACAAAAATATAAACTCACTGGGTGATAACAGCTTAAAAATTATAAATGTATCTGTCAAACACGTTAAAAAAGCTATGAGATCTATAAAATATACAGGATGATATAAAAGGCTATCAAACGTATCTCCTTTCCGTCCTGTATCTAAAAATGCTACTATTTGAGCGTAGTCTGAGTCTATATAAAATTGGCACACACCCAAAAAATAATTTAGCAAAAGCTATGTTTTAGATATTGTAATAGGCCTGTATTATGCAAAAAATATTTACCTTACATATACATTATTAAAGAACTAAAACCAGCAGTTTAAAACGTGAAATATTTTAGTTAACTCATCTTTTACTACGATACGTGAGTCTATTCTGTAAGGACGCAGCTGGTTTCCAAATATCAATCACGACAAAACAGATGGCGCTAGCATAGCACTTTTGAGTTGGGCATTACGGACCCCTAAACTTTAAGTCTCTCATGACCACAGCTACTACAAAACTGTGTTAGAAGTTAACCTTTATATTTCAGATTTTAAACCGTTAAAAATTTCGACTACCCCAATTTACTATAGACTTAATAAATTATTATTCGAAAGAAAACTTTTTCAGTTAAGCAATAGATACAAATTTAGTTTTGATCCTAAACTTGTTCATTTCTTAATTATTTATGATTATTATTGTGCCGTAATCTTTTTGTGGTCAAATATGGACTAATAACATCTTGACAAACAAATATACTGTAGTTTACATTAACTTTGGGCATTATTATCCGGCTCAAAGGACCATTAATTGCTCCACAGTATACCGTTCGTAGCAAGTGCGATTCTGAAAAGCATATTAAAATAAAAGCATATGACGTCACTGCCAATTTAAAATGGCGCCGCCTCGTCGAGTGTATGGAGCCAGTTGAATATCATCATGTTTCGCTCGTACTTCGATAGAGGGCGCCCCCTCTCCCTTTCCAAGTCCGCGGCAGTGAGCGCTAGGTGTGCCGCTTCTACAAATAATACAGAATGTTGATAAGCAGTCGGATTTTTATACATATTTAATTACTATTGTCCTAACTATAAGGACGTTATGTGAGATCCTGTTTACCCTTGTGGGGTAAGGGGGTGAACACTTCTCTGTGTCTCTTTGCATTGATCGACGATTACTGTTTTATTCATAAATTATTTTTTTAGTGTATATATTTTTGAATCATACTGTATATTACCTGGATGCACAACCTTCTGTGTCTGCTTTGTGGGCACGGTCAGCGTGGTGGGTCCGGGGCCAGCAACCGTACCGGTTGCGCTGACAGCGGCGGCCTATTCAAGTGGAATAAAAATTTAAAATCATTAAGTAATTACGTATAGAAACAATTAATTGTTTTTCCTAGTAATTAAATATTATTGGTCTAGGTATCAACCTGTCATCAATTTTTACGGTTTGGATGAATGATCGCCATTGAACACCGACTAGCAAAGCGAAAATTCGCACGCCTAGAGAAACGAAAATTCGCGCGACTAGCGAAGCGAAAATTTGCACGACTAGCGAAGCGAAAATTCGCGCGACTAGTTCTGTACTTATGTGCTTTTTTGGTTCGCTGTTGGTTTCGCGATCGCTAGATGCATCGCCATTCGAATCGCACGAATTTTCGTCTTAGCGTGTCGCGCCAATTTTCGCTTCTGTAGTCGCTAACGTGTCTAAGTAATTAGTCTTAAATTTACTACACTGCACAAAATATATAAAAATAGTGTTATAATAATAAGCGAGGTTTGGGCCTAAGGGCGTGCATTTCCCCCCCTGGGGGGGGTTTGGGTGTTTTTTTTTTCCTTCCACCCCCCCCATTTAAAAACCCCCCCGGACCCTTTTTTTATAAATTCAGGATATATAAGCATGGGGCTGACATATAATGTTATATAACATGATGAAATATTCTCTTCTTCAAGTCTCACCTCCAATTTGTCCAAATTGAATTCGGACTGAGACATCCTCTCTAGAGCTCTGTACGTTGTGATCAGACGTCGTTTTATGTAGCTCTGTCGGACCTGGAAATACAGCATAAATATATATAGATATAGAATAGCAGTTTATGGGAGATGAAAAAACCCAACCACATAACACCTATTTTAGCTTTGGATATTCGGAAACCCACAGGCTAACCGAAACGCGATTAAACCACACGGCTTTTTCATCTGTGTAAGGCGGTTCGTGACCCGGCCAAAATTTAGATGTTCCTCCCACAGTATAACTTGTTTCAGAAAACATTTTAAATTAAAAAAGTTGAAACATGTTGGACCCCGTGGGGTCCGAACCCACGACCCGACACTGCTACCATTAGTGATTATAGTATTATAGTGGTTTTGCTATGCGATAGAATATTTAAGCCCGGAAGTGGGATGAGATGATTCTTTCTTACCTTCTTATTGTCTGTGGACAGCGCCCTCTGTGGTGGTGCTATGGGCTGCGATCGTTGTGGTGATGGTAGTTGGGACCCGCCTACTATAATATTTTATTTATGTATATTTATAATGAAATGAATAAATAATGTTGAAATATTCATATTAGAAGTAGTATATAAAATTCGTGAACCACCGGACCATTTTACCCAATTCCCAATTCCCCCATTCCCCCCCTTCCGCCTGGTTTACCTACGGCAAAGATCTAACAATTATTTCTCTTTAAGATGCCAATATAGTGCTGTTGCTTCACAAATTAAGCTACTGTTTAATTAATAGATTATAACCTTAACATCTATTCGAGTTTACAGACGATAATTGCTTTTTCTCTATAGAAAAGTTTAATATTACGCACATGATGGCACGATATAAATAAAAATCTATTATAAATTGAAAAAAAAATAGGACACGGACAGGACTTGAACACACTTTAGTGTTGCTTTTTATCTTTCAAATTTATATATGTAATTAAAAATAAGACAGCTCACCAGCCACCCAAGTGCTGCAAGACCTCGAGGCAGCATTCAAAGTTAACGCTTCAAGCGCAGCGCATAATCCCACTTCTGATGTTGCGCTGTAATAATAAAAGAACACACTTAACTTTTATATATTTCCCTTCTACCGTTGTACGAATTATACCCTTCTACCTATCAAATCATTACCGATTATTAAATTTTTATTGAATCGCTATTTTTAATGAATGTAAAAATAAAACAAATGAAATTATAGAAAATCTATACACCCTGCTATGTTTTTCCAGTGATCTCTTACTTTACGCCTAAAATAGCTAAAGCATTGTATTGTATTCGCATATTTATTCTCATTCCCCATTCCATTTATGGCACTATAAGGGTTAATAAAGTCTATTCATTATTATTAGAATATATACATTATACAATTATATATAATTAAATGAGTAAAAAAAAATAAAAATTTCAAATTAATTTACAAAAAAAAAAACAATTTTTCCACAGACCATCTAACTGGAGGTTCCACTGTGTGGCTGGAGACATCTCCGGCACTAAACGACCGCCGGAGCCCTAACTGAGCGCAGAGGGCGGCGCACCCCGCTAGAAGCTCACGACAAGCGTCTCCTTGCAGCGGGAGGGCTGGGGAGCCGCGACGCAGACTGTACAATGTAAATATTATCTACAGAGAAAATATTACATACATAACACACAACTTCCACTTCTTTCATAACATTCGGTCGATATTAATAAAGTAGATATAATCTGAATTTTCCTAGCTACATTTTATTTATATTAATGAGGTAAATCTGGTAGCAGCCTGTATCTATACTAATATATAAAGCTGAAGAGTTAGTTTGTTCGTTTGTTTGTTTGAACGCGCTAATCTCAGGATTTACTGATTCGAATTGAAAAATTATTTAGGTGTTAGTTGGAACATTTATCGAGGAAGGCTACGGGCTATAAAACATCGCGCTGCGACTAAAAGAAGATACAGCGGGAAATGTGAATAAAACGGGGGAAATTTTTCATTTTTGTGGGCTTCACATCACGGGACGTTACGCTACTTAAAAAATGTGTATGAAAGAATGATTCCTTTTGTAATAATCTAAAAAAAAGTCCACGACGCTATATGTCTATCTTTTCAGATTTACTTGTAAGAACGACGGTAAGGGACGCGATCGACGTTTTGGCTAATTGGCTAACAGCTATATATAAAGATGACGGGGTTTGCAAAAACTAATTTGCGGACGAAGTCGCTGGCACAGCTTGTGTACAATATACAGGTTGGTCCTGTAAGTATGTCCGAGTGACACAAAGTCGCACCTTCGTAACGTTGTAAAAAAACTATTATAGACTATAGAGTTTAACCTAGGACACAAAATCTTTAGCTTTTCATACATTGTGTATGCTGTAAAAGAACATACCTCAATGCCTTCCCTTCAGGATTAGGACTGGCCACTCTAAGCGAAGGTTCAGGACCCTGTCCCGCCTGAAAATAAAATAAACTCTTGCATTTTATCTCCTTGTCTTTCTTTATATGTTTAAAAGGAGACGGACAAGCACGGGGTTTACTTGAAGGTAGGTGACATACCCCAGCAATATGAATAATAATTTAAATAAAACACTTTAACGGTTTAAAACGCGATATATAAGTTAAACTTTTAAAAAAATTTTTTTTTTTTGGGCCCGGGGCCCCCGGGGGGCCCCCCCCGGGCCCGGGGCGGGCCCCCCCCCCCCCCGGGGGGGGGGGGGATTTTTTTTTTTTTTTTTTTTTTTTTTTTTTTTTTTTTTTTTTTTTTTTTTTTTTTTTTTTTTTTTTTTTTTTTTAAAAAAAAAAAAAAACATATGTATACTAATATTATAAATGCAAAAGTAACTATGTCTGTCTGTCTATTCGGCTTTAACTCCGAAACTACTGAACTGATTTAAATGAAATTTGGTACACAAATATTTTAGAGCCTGAGAAAGGACATAGGCTACTTTTTAATATGCCAATACCAAAATGCCAAATAAGGGTTGATAGTTGAAAAGGGGGATGAAAGTTTGTATGAATTTTGTTATTGAAGATAGAACAATGAAACTTCCTTCTTTGGCTTTTTGGGAATAGGAGTGGGAATAAGAGTGAGTGTAAGTTGAGAGTGGGAGTTAGAGTAAGAGTGATGTGAGGTGAGAGTGTTGCGGCAAAGTGACACAACAAAGATTGGCTGCCTAAAATGCGCTCTTACATAAATTAATAAACAGCCAAAATAATTAAAAATTATACCCCAAGTCACAATTCCACGCGGATGAAGTCGCGGGCAGAGCTAGTTACATATAAACAAGATGGGCTGTCATCCTATTTTAGCATTATATATTCGGAAAACCACACACTGAAATCAAAACGCAATAAAACTTGTCCCAACTTGTCTCAGAAAAATGTTAACTAGAGGGGGGATCGAAGCCAAAACCCGTTGATTTTTAACCATACATTGCTACCGTTGCATCAAAGAGCCTATCAACAACATAATAACATCAGTATAAGATGAGTTGTAGACGTATTTCGGCTTTAGATTCTTTGGAATTCTTTTTCATTCTTTAATGACTTCTTAAACTACAAAGTATTGTAAATTGCCCTCAATTATATGTGGTAAAGTACAAAATTACATTGCTGCAACATACTCAGTTGTAGGATAAGAGCAGCATTACGGATCAATATGGATGCTGTTTCCAGTCCTAATCAAGCATTTCAATATAAAATAGATTTTTGAGAAACATGGGTACAACATTAAAGATACAGACAAACAGATTATATAAACATGTATATATCTACAATACCTTACAAGCAAGAAGCCGCAGCACCCTAGCATCCGAAGCAGCGGAGGAAACACTGAACAGCGATAAATCAGTAGTGACCGACTCATGTGAAGGTGATCTCGCCACACCCATTCCTCTCCAGGTTTCCCCTGTACACATTTCCACTGAAAAACAATAAGCCAATGAGGGTAAGAACAGTTTTAAATAGGCTTGCAACATATAGTACATTCCGTAGGACCCAAATACCAAATATTCAATCAGATTTTAGAGCTAAAACTTAAACAGATATTGTGATCGTTTCAATGTAGATATTCTATTTACGCTAAAATTAGTTTATTGGTTTGGTGACCCTCCCATTCTAAATGTTGATTATGAAAGGAGTTCAAAAGCAAAGAAATAAGTCTTTAATTTTTTAATATACAGAATGATGTCCCTGTTTTATGTACCAAGGACTAATTTGATGATTATTAAAACAAATTCAACCTTACCTTTCATAATGTCACTTAATTGAAATACATACACATAATAGTCAAAGATAATATTCATTGTAAGTCTAGTTTTAAAGTATGGATGTTTAATAACTCAAATTACTATAAATTTGTTATTTTCATTACATAATCACATAGTATCCATACAAATTGAATTCGCAAATACTTGCTAAAAAAGATTTTCTAATGGAAAAATACAATACAATCTAATACAAATTATTATACTGACAAAGATAGTGTCGACCATATAAAATAAAACTTTGCTTTCCTGGTGGCAATGGGGCACACATGTTTCACATACTGATATATAGCTATATTAATATATAGGCTAATAACAATATTTGTGTGTCCTCCCTATGAACTGTGATTAGTTTAAAGAAGGATAATTTTCGTCAGAAAATAAACTATTATGCAGTCTGTATAGAACTTGACGAGTTTACATAATATCTACCTTATTGCATTTCTATATGTTATATAATTTGCATTTCTATATGCAGATATTATTTTTCAAGTAGATTTTACTGTTTGTTAAAAAACCGCGTAGTTTAGGAATTAAGCATTTTAAGCTAAATATAAACAAGACCGGCTGCGGTTCTTGATTTGCATATAATAAAACTTACAACTCGTGTTGGGATCCACGGCGAATGATTTCTCGTGCGACGTGATTAAACAAAAACCCGTTTAGAGGTTTTATTTCTATAAATTTCTAAATTAACAGTTTTATTTAAGTAAACACAAACACGGTACAATATTGTCAAATTCGCGTTAGCAGAAAGTCGATCAATGTTCATTCAATGTCAGTAATCAATGACAATTGACAATTGTCATTTTTGGACAGCTTACTTGACTACCTTGCGTTCATCTTTTTTTTTTCACTAAGTAAGTCACGACAATTATTAATTTACTTAATCCTTTATTTAATTAGATTTTTAATAAGAAATGAAAATGTCACTAAAATGTATTTATTGCAATATACAAATAAGCTATTGGATATTTTAGAACTATATAGTATAAATTATACCAACAGGTGGCGGTACAAGGTTAATTTTTCTTTGGACAACTTTAAAACAATTATATCACGTTTATAAGTATCTAATCTTCCTTGTACTAATATATATAAAACATAGGTTTTCTTTAAAAGATATATTGAGAATTAGTCAATAAAATATAATTTAATAATTCATTAGCAGACATGTAATATTAGAAGAGCTTATAAAATCGCATACAAATGTAACTTTCCAAAAATTATTACGTAAGCAAACAAAAAAGGGAAAATCAACTCTAATGTATGCAAAATTCGAGCCTACAGGCCTTTTGTTTTATCAGAAAAAGCTTAACATTGAATAAAATTGCATATAAAACAGTTATTTGCGTCGTATTTAAATCGTATCCATAAATATTATTACACTTATTGATTCCGTTTGAATCGCTACACGCTATCGTCCAACGTTGAGTTTATCAAGGTATTGCTTGCTTAGGATCGGGCTACATGTCGGTTCTAAACTTTTTTATGTTAGATGAGGACAGACAGTGACGAAGCTATCGTAGGGGCAGGTGGTGCACCAGGGCCCCGGAACTTAGGGGCCCTCTAAACTTATCTTTGATTTTTATTGATTTTTAAGGTTCTTGTTGCTATTTATAATTTTGGAGGTTCATTTAATTCAAGCTATGCTAAAAGAGGATTACGTAGAACAGGGCCCTTGCCAGCTACGCTACTGAGGACAGACATATTACACCTCAACAAGATGCACTATCGATCTCATTTGACTTTGGATATTCGGAAATCCACAGACTGACACCGAAACGCGAATAAAATTCACCACTTGTTGATTTGTGGTTCGCTAACCGGATGGAATTTCGATAATTCTACCGGCCATTTCATATCCGGATTTTCAAGAAGAAGTCCAGCATGTATCAGAAATGATGATTTCACCAACTAGCATTTATATCTCTATGGGGTCTTATGCTATCATATTCGATGATGAGAGATGTTAGATAACATAGTAGTGGATACGATTCCTACTGTGTTTCAGTGCTTTTAAAACTTAAACCCGGCTCTTCTACTCTACTCTTGGGTGGTGAAGCACATGCCGAGTGCTTTCCCCCATTTCACAAGCACTCTTCTACGTTTTTATTAAGCTAATATTCAAGTTATTTGTGTCTTGTGTAATAAATGGTTTAAATTTGACCTCTTTAAAATTTCAATATTCAATGTAAGCCTACCCTTACTTAAAGCCGAATATATAAACAGAAATAGCGTCAACTTCTATATTATCATTGTTGTATGTACATTGCTTGCGTTGCAGATGGTGTGTTATTATGGGCAAAATGAAAAGTGTCTAGTTTAATACTCACAAAATAGAAACTAATTTGAATAGCGGTCTTTATAAGTTTATTAATATATGACTATTTTTCAACATTAAGGTTATTGCAATCGTTGCCTCGTTTTAAACCGTTTAAACTGTTAAATATGAAAATAAATAAAAAAGTAAATTAATAATAAATTTAAGTATTGTCTGTATACTGAATGAAAAATAAAACACTAAAACCTTCGTTTTGAAAATGTTTTATTGAAAATATGATAATTATAAATTCCATTCTTAAAATAAACTATTGTAAGTACTGTTTGTAGTTTCCGCGAGTCGTACACATTTACATAAAATACTTTTAACGGTTTAAAATGGTAAATATATTAGTTAACTTATACTTATCTATGGACGTTTCTTTTATCTCCGGACGTTTGTCGACGACCTCGTGGTACCAGCACCCCCCCCCCCCCGGGGCCATGGCTAAAAAGTGTTACGTTTAACTACTTTATTTACGATTCCGAGTAAATACAGAAAAAATCACCTTAATTAGTTAAAAATAAACAACAGCATTTTTCATAAATGACCTGTTACATTTCCTGCAACATGAGTAATACATGAAACGTGTCACACTTACCCACACACACACAGCTAGCTACACCTGTGTGCGTCGACGAACAAATATCTATCGGAGTTCCGTATATATTTGGCTTGAAATAAAAAAAAATGAGTGCATTTTTTTATGATATAAGACAGTCAAGCATGCCCACTTGTTGGGAGGTGAAATTCACCAGCGGTGTAACATCTCAACACGATGCGCTATCGACCTATTAAGGCTTTAGGCAATTCTGCTTGTGAAAATACATAGTCAATTAGTAGTTTTTTTTTGTGAAAATGTACTCATGCTTTTTACTTGCAGCTGATTCAAAATGTAAAACGGTTTAACGGTGTATCACTACGGCCCGACGTTTCGGATGCTTTGTAGCAGTCGTGGTCACGGGGGAACTCATTAAACTGTTAAAGTGTTTCTTTGTTTTAATTAAGATAAGACTTTTTAATAAGTGTGAGTGAAAGAGACATAACTATGTCGTTTTGATTTAAAAGTTTGCAATTGTACTGTGGATCCCTACAACACAGTTAAGTCTACAGTATTTAGTAATGATAAAAGCCGATTTCCAGTCATTAATTATATATTAAAAATAATGTATGAAATCATTTGAATGTTAATATTCCGGAAATAATAGTGATCAAGAATTATCAAATATTAAACGTTTTAACATATTAATGTTCACTTTGTGGATTTAAACGGTTTAAAACGCGATATACATATATATATATCATAGCGCGATCAGTCTCCCCGTGACCACTGCACGCATCCGAAACGTCCGGCTTTAGTTAAAATAATCAAACAATTTTAACGCGAGTTCACAATAAAATAAAACACTTTAACCGTTTAAAACGCGATATATATTGGTTTAAGTTTTCTAACAGGTTTCACTAATAATAATAATATCGCGTTTTAAACCGTCAAAGTGTTTTATTTAAATACATATCGTCAAATTAACTGTCAAAGCAAGTTTATTCTAGAATGTTTTGCAATCTCTGACTATGACGTCACTGTGTGAGTGTATCTATCAGTTAAGATTTCCTTCGTTGTTAACAAACAATTTGATTGTTTTTCATATAACATAGAATCTTTATCTATACTAATATATGAAGCTTGTTTGTTTGTTTGAACGCGCTAATCTCAGGAACTACTGGTTCGAATTGAAAAATTCTTTGTGTTGGTTAGAGCATTTATCAAGTAGGGCTAGGCTATAAAACATCGCCCTGTGACTAATACAAGCAAAGATACAGCAGGAAATCTAAAAGAAATTGGGAAAATCATTTATCATTATGAGTTTCCGGGCTGTAAAAACGGTTCAAGATATCCAAAAAATATGTTTGAATAAATTATTTACCTTGCAAGAACGACGGGAAGGGACGCGAACGACGTTGCGGGTAACAGCTTAAGTATATAAAGAGTTTGCAAAACCGAATTTGGATGCACCAAAAGATTTTCGCGGGCGAAGTCGCTGGCACAGCTAGTATATGATAATAATGTAATATTGAAACATTAAAAACTGTCTATAGTTTACGCGAGTAGTACACATTTAAATAAAACACTTTAACGGTTTAAAACGCGATATATTAGTTAAATTTATGTGAAAATGATTTTTAACTTCGGCCCAACGTTTCGGATGCTTTACAGCAGCCGTGGTCACGGGGGGTATAATTTATCGCGTTTTAAACCGTTAAAGTGTTTTATTTAAATATTGAAACATGTAAATGAAGTAACCTTTGCTGACGTAATTACGCTCTTGGA